GTCTAGTTCCTGTTGGCCAGACCGTGGACACGTTTTCCGATGCGTGCTCAACAAACATGTTCCACATTCTCCTTGGGTGCCGACACACTATTCTGATCTTCACTGATGACGTCCACCGGTACACCCCCGTCATCCGCCTAGCTCGAACCTATCCACGCGATATCCTACAAACAGTCATTGTGCTTCGGCCCGGGAGCGTCGCCGCCCCTGGAGCTCACGCGTTGGCCGACTGGGTCCTGGAGGATCGGTCTGGCCTTGCCCACAGCGCCTATTCCACCACAGACCATTGTGACGTCATCATTGTCCGGCCCGATGGACTGGTCGGTGCCGTGCTGCGCAGTCGCGAGGGACTGCGACACTACTTCAATGGTATTTTTAACAGACCCAAAGCAGTTTAAATAATCAGATAAGATGTGTATGTAGCCTTAGCCTTAACCAACCACCTTACGTAATTAGACCTGTCGCAATGTCCTCTCTCCTCCCGCGCTACCTATGTAAGAATCCCATCCCTGCAAGCTTTCTCAGAGGAGGCACGTCCAAGGGCATATTCCTCCTCCGCCAAGATCTTCCCCCGGATCGCGCCGCGTGGGCTCCTGTCTTTCTCGGGCTCATGGGCGCGCCGGATCCCCTCCACGGTCGCCAACTCAACGGGATGGGCGGCGGAGTCAGCAGCCTGTCCAAAGTCGTCGTCGTGGAGCCTGCATCGGAGGAGCAGCAGAGAAGCGGCATCTCCGTCGCCTACACGTTCGCCCAGGTGGGTGTCAAAGACTCGAGCGTGGACTACAGCGGGAATTGTGGCAACCTGAGCGCGATGGTCGGCGTATTCGCACGCGACCACGGGCTCTGCGCGTCTCCGCTACCCGGCGCCACGCACATGACTGTCCGCGCCTGGAACGTGAACACGCAGAAGGCTATCGACACGACGTTCCCTGTGAACGACCACGGAGTCGCGGCTCTCGATCATCCCGAGGTGGAGATGGCCGGTGTTCCCGGCAAGGCGAGCACCATTGTCATGGAATTCGTCAAGCCGGGCGGTGCTCGGACAGGGAAGCTCCTTCCCTCTGGCGCGCCGACTGAGGACCTGGTCGTTTCTGGGCCTTCCGGAGAGAACCGGATACTGACCGCTTCATTGGTCGACGCGACAAATCCGACTGTGCTTGTTGGCTCTGCTGAGCTGGCCCAATTCATCCCAATTGGCGATTACCTGCGGGGTTCTCCTGTCCCTGCGTCGACGAAGTACTCGAGCGGATCAGACGAGCTGGAGCCGAGCGGATGGGGCTTGATCCCTCTGCGCAAGCTCAGCCGAAGATTGCGATTCTCAGTGCGCCAAATGAGGAGGACCTGCAAGCGGGGGTCGACATTGTCGTGCATGCGCTCTCCATGGGGGTGCTACACCGGGCAGTTCCCGGCACAGTAGGGCTCTGCATCGGCGTTGCAGCCAATGTCGCCGGCACCCTTCCGTGGCAAATTGTTCAGAAAGCGCGGGGTAACCAAGCACAAAAGGAAGCAATGATTCGAATTAAACATCCTAGTGGTCTAGTCGAAATCGGCGCAGAGTTCGAAGAGAGCGGAGATGTGAAAAGCGCCAAGGTCATACGGACGGGTCGTCGGTTGATGGAGGGCCGCGTGTGGTGGTAATCCGCCTGACTCGAGTAACTCAAACCTTCTGTATCGCTTTTGACACGTCTTCATGAACGTCGGCAAAAACTCGCGGGGTCGGCACTGCACGGGTAGCGAGCACGTGACCGTGAAACTACAGATTAACTTAGCCCCGCAAGAGCCCGCCAGTTAGATAGTTCCAGGCGATGATGCTGCACCACTTCCTTTCCCTTCTCTTACACTCCGTACCGGAGCCTCCGTGATTTCATCCGGGCTACCTCTGGGCGCGGGGAATTCTCGGCTGATTCTTTGCTGGCGAAGATCGAATCGATACGATAAGAGGGGGCTCAAGTTTCAACAGATTGCGCGTGAATTCCTGCCGATACAGTACCGACCATTATGATTTACCGGATTCTCGTTGCATCCTACACTTCAAGCTTGACCTGGCTGGCCTTTGACCCCGAAGCTGCGACTCTGGTCGTGCGGTCGAGTCATGAAGTTGGGTTCCACCCCTCGTGGATTGAATTCTACCCCGGAGACCACTCGCTCGTTTTCACTGGATTAGAGCAGACCGACGGGAAGATTCTGGTCATCAAGTACGACTCGGAAGGGAAGGGGAGTGTCGTTGCAGAGGCATCGAGTGGTGGTGCGGATCCCTGTTCGCTCGCGATTAGCAAGAAGGAGCTGTTTGTTGCCAACGTCCGTGTCCTATGTTATGCATATACTGCTCTAGACTGATGATTTCCTGCAGTACTCCTCGGGCACCGTGGCGGTACTCCCCATCACATCCAACTCGCCGTACATCCTGTCCGACCCCGTTATCACCCAATTGCAAGGTTCTGGCCCCAATTCGGAACGTCAAGAGGGCCCGCATGCCCACCAGGTGGTTCTGAACGATGCCGAGAACCAGTTGCTCGTCGCTGATCTCGGCTCGGATTGTGTCTGTCGGCTTGGGCGGCAGGACGACGGCACATGGGGCGTCGACGGCCATATCCGCTACGAGCCGGGAAGCGGACCGCGCCATCTGGCCGTTCACGGTACGCGTAATCGAGAACCCGCTCGCGTTGGGAACTGACGCCTTTTTTTGGGGAGGCGGTTTCATATATACCGTGCTCGAGCTGCACAGCACCTTGGCCAAGCACCGGTTTCCAGCTCAACCCGAGAAAGCCGAGCTGGTCGCTGTGGCGCCTACGATGTTCAGCCCACCTTCTGCTCCCCATGATATGCTCGCTGCAGAGCTGCTGATCCCCTCACCTACTGCTGCCTTCCCCGCGGCGTATGCATATGTTTCGAATAGAAACGACCCGTCGCCCGAGGGTGATTCGATTGCAATCTTTGATGTCTCGGGAGACAAGTTGGAGCTCATAGCCGAGGTCAGAACAGGTCTCCGTCATCTGCGTGGGATGGCATTTAGTGGCCCGGACAATAAATGGCTGGTCGCAGGTGGTGCTTTGGGCGGAGGTGTCAAAGTGTTTGAGAGGGTTGATGGCGGGAAGGCACTGCGTCTCATCGCAGAGAATATCGACATAGAGGCTCCAACAGGATTCCTGTGGCTCTAATATTTTGAGCAGTCGTTGTGTACAATACATAATACATTTTAGATCTCGAGTTGGATTTCAGTCGCGAATGTCACAGGCATGTGATGTTGTGACTGGACGCGGACTCATTATGAGATTCATGTGGCCTTTTTGACGATGGACAGATTGGGTTGGAGCCCAAGCTTATAAAGCTTGTTTGAATTGTGAAACAGTGCATTTTGCACGATTTCGACGGCGTCCTGTTCGCTCAGCTCCTTACGCGTGATATAGTCCGCTAAAACCTGAGGGCAGTGTTAGCGCCCCCAAAGCTAAGAAACAGGTGGTCACATCATATAGTGCTTGTCTTGACTGGACCACGCCCAGGTAAAAGGACTCGGGCCACCAATGGCCGTCGGTGGACCACAGAATCTTGCTCGTGGGACATATTTCCAACATCTGCTGGACGATAGACCGCTGTCCTGCCCCAGACACAAACGGAAAGACCTGCAAGGAAATTCAGTATCTACGCTCGAAAAGTAGCTTGATCAATACTTCGCCAAAGTCCAGATAGACGTTGGGATACACGGCAGAAAGATACCCGGCATCTCTCGTGTACGGGTAAGACGAGTGCAGCAGCACGAACTTCGTCTCCGGGTATCTCTTGATGACCTTTTGGAGGTGAGATGGCGAAGCTTTCGTCAGCGTGATGTCGTTGTCACCCAGTCCCGTGTGGAATTGGACTAGTCACAAGTACATCATCTGTGGACCAATCGAAGACTAACCGGTACCCACTCGGCTTGTCCTGAGCTGCAGCAATCTCCAGGGTCTTGCAAACAACCAAGTCGTTGAGAGCTTTATGGGCCAGCCGGATCTTTCCGGTCAGCTTGAAGTCCTGCGCCACATCCTTGAGGGATGCTAGAACAGCCTCAGCCGACTCAGAGGGCGGTTCCACGTCAAGGCCGGTCCGATAGCAAGCCACCGATTTGAAACCGACCACTTCGTTGGCAGCGGCACTTTCCGCGAGTGTTCTTTCGAAAATATCCAGAAACGCCGACAGCACGAGCTCGAGTTGCTCAGACGCGGCGTATTCTTCGTGACCTCGCAAGAGGTCTCGGAGAATTTTCTAGTGTCCAGGTCAAATCAAGCAAACACGGCAATCGAGGCAAATGACCTCGGCGACGACTTCGACGCGCACGATGCGCTTGGTGGGACTTGTAGTGTAGCGATCATGCCAGCGAAAGTCCTCAGCATACTCTTCGACGCCTCCAAGCCCATCATCGAGGAGCAGACATCTGCACAGGTCGACGAAAGCGACGTGGTTCTTGCGACGCATGCACTCACTGTGTCCCCGTGATAGAGGCGCGCATAAACATGTCGCAGCAGTCGGAGTAGGTCATCTTGCTGCGGGCGGCTTTTATCGAGTCCCAGGTGGGGTTCTCCAGCTTGAGCGCGTCGCCGAGCTGGAGAATGGCGCGTCGGCAGGCGAGTGTGGAGATAGAATGGCCGGTGAGCGCAGAGCCTTTTGGGGGAACCATTGAGCAGAATTTTCTGTAATTGAGTACCACAAAAAACCTTCGGCCTCAGAGATCACGCCCTCGAATGGAAAGTGATCACGATTGGCTTCCGTGAGGAGTGGATGAGCGTGGTTGTCTGTTGTGCGGATGTATCAAGACGACGTCGGCGGTTCCCGAGATCACATATCACCTATCGCAGGATAGAAACGACACGCTTTGTCGAGTGCCGCGTAGACGTGATCCTGATCGTTCTTCAAAAGCATCAGTGTCGGACGTTAAACGTTGGAGGACGACGCTTGGTGTCAATAATGATAAGCGGAGGCATCAGTGGCTATGCCAGTCAAGACAATTATCCCACGGCCCATTTGTTCTCAGATTCGGATGGAGGAGAAACCGCTCCTCGACACAACGGAGTGGAACGAATGGAGGACCCGCAGTCTTTCTCGGGGAGGCTTTGGTATTGACAGGGCCGAAATATGGTGCGCACATCCACGTCCATGGAACCCACCTCACGACCCTGCGCTTAGGCCGAAGCTTCTCCATGCCGTGGCATTAAAGACGAAGGAACAAGCCATGGGAGTTGAAGAAGTCCACGAGGAAAAGCCTCACCCCGACGAGCGGCAGATCCAGCTGGATACGGACCGCAGCTTCGTGTTATATCCAGTAGGTGAACGGAACAAGAAGACACGCGAAACTACTATTCATCCGGCTCTGCAGAGTCCGAACTGGATAAGGAGACCCTCCAATCCGAATTGAACGCTCTCCTCGTTGAAATGTTCCGGCGACGCCCAAAGCTTCACTACTTCCAGGTGAGTGGAAGGAAAGTCAGTGACAATGCCATGTCTAACGTGGTAGCGCAGGGATACCACGACATCATCACCGTGCTCTTGTTGACACTGCCGAAGGAGCTCCAGCTAGCGTGCGCAGAGCAACTCAGTCTGCAACGTGTAAGAGACTCGATGGGATCGACTCTAGAGCCAGTGCTGGGTCTTTTGCGGTAAGCTCCGGACCGTCAGGAGAGCCATGATACAAACTTCGGTCACACAGGGTTACCAGGAATGTTCTCAGAGCTACGGATCCTGACTATGCGGCGCTCCTTGAACAGCACGTTGTATTGTATGTTGCCAGGCCGGCTGCTGATTTGGGTTTAGGACGGCGCCACTCCCGTATTACGCCCTGCCCAATCTCTTGACGCTCTTTTCTCATGATATGCCGACTCTACCGCTCATACAACACGTCTTTGACTATCTTCTAACTCGGCCTCCCATCTATGTGGTCTATCTTGCATGTGCAGTATGTCCTTGCACGCCACATCATGCTCTAGTCCGCCGATCTCATTCGTTGCCCACAGATCATTCTTTCGAGGAAGCAAGAGGTTGAGCGCCTCGAAGAAGAAGGCGAAGAGGGGATGATCCACTCGCTGCTTTCTGCGCTACCAAGCCTAGCCGACGACGCACTCAGTAATTCAATGCCTGAGACTAGCTTCGACCAATTGGAAGATAAGACTTCAATTCCGGAAATCGAAGAGCCAGCCATGGAGGATGACTCTCACGCTACCGGGGACCCTGTTCTGAAAGAGCATCCATCAAACGAAGATATTAAATCAGAAGAGATGGAAGAGCCCTCGCGTAATCTCTTGACGGTGCAGCTCACAGAGCTGCTGGCTCTCTCGGACGATCTCTATCTCCGCCACCCTCCTCACTCCCCCGCCATCCAGCTGTCATCGATAATGGGGCCACAGAGCGTCGTTTTCACTTGGTCGACGGATGCAAGCGATATGCCCTCTCCGGATGCGGCCGAAGCCATGGTCGAGCGAACAGACTTGATCGTGTATCCTGAAGAACTTCCAGAGCCCGAACCCAAGCCCACTCGGCACCGGCCACAGAGCAGGCAGGTTCCTGTCACATTGCTGGTCGGAGCGGGCTTGGTTGTTGGTGTGGCGGTCGCCGTGTCGGTCTATAACTCTCGACATGGCGATCCTGTTCGTGACATGAAGAAGTTAGGACAGTTGGCGGTCGGAGCGGCCGTGGGAATCGTCGAGAGCTTGACACGCTTCCGGGTTTCTTGACCGATGCCCTGAGATTGTCCGTGTCTTCTGCGGTTACGTACATTCATATGCTATAAAATGAGATACGATGGATCGCACGTTTTCCAAGATGGCCCGTGCTTTCTTTCTCTCCCTCCTCCTTTCCGCCACGGTCAACGCGGCCCGTCAGAAAGCGGACACCAAGGTCCTCATCCTCGGCGGCGGAGTGTCCGGCGTGATTGCTGCACGGACCCTGCATGAACAGGGCATCGATGACTTTGTCATCGTCGAGGCGCGCGACGAGCTCGGCGGGCGGATGCGCAGCAGGAGCTTTGGGGCACCGGGCAAGGCCGTGACGGTAGAGCTGGGTGCGAACTGGATCCAGGGCACCCAGACGGGAACGGGCCCCGCAAATCCGATCCTGACGTTGGCCAATAAGTACGGCGTCAAGACCGCCCCGAGCGACTTTTACACGTCCATCGGTAAGTATCCGCCTGCGTGAACCGTGATTGGCTGTTTTGCCGCTGACAGAAATCGCAGTGACTTACGACGAGCATGGCTCGGCGGACTACCTTGATGTGCTGAACACTGCCCTCGACGCATATACCAACTTGACTGTCGTCGGCGGAGCGCGCGTTCCCACCAAGCAGGTCGACGCGACCTGTCGCACGGGATATTCTCTGGTCGGCGCACGCCCGAAGACACCGGCAGAGATGGTCACAGAGTACTACGTGGTAAGAAGAATCTGTTTGTTCGTTGTCAACGGCGTTGACGTGTGATCTCAGTTTGTATGATCTTCGCATGTCTGCTACTGGCCTCGCTTGACACTACCTCAGGACTGGGAATACGCGCAAACGCCTGAACAAACGTCGTGGATCGCATCATCTTGGGTGGGTGTCTTATCTTATCTCTCGGCCCCGCTGTCCTATCTTATCAACGCAGGCCAACAACTTTACGTTTGATGTCGATCAAGGCGGCTTCTCGGCAGACAACGAGTTGGCCATCGACCAGCGCGGCTTCAAACACCTCATCCAAGGGGAGGCACAATCATTTCTGAAGCCCGAACAAGTCCGGCTCAATACTACTGTACGCGCTGTGACCTACTCGAAGGATGGTGTGGCGGTCACGCTCGCCAACGGCACCAGGATCACCGCTGAGTATGCCATCTCGACCTTTAGTGTCGGGGTTCTCCAGAATGAAGATGTGGTCTTCGAGCCTGCCTTGCCTGAATGGAAGGAGGAGGCCATCCAGAGTATGACCATGGTACGTCCTTTCACTGTCATGCGAAAGAGGTCATTCTAACATCCACCGGGCAGGCCACGTACACCAAGATCTTCCTGCAATTCGAGAAAAAGTTCTGGTTCGACAGCCAGTTTGCCTTGTATGCCGACACCGAACGGGGGAAGTATCCTGTCTGGCAAGGGCTCGATCTGCCCGGCTTTCTGCCGGGCTCGGGCATCATCTTCGTCACGGTCACGGGCGACTACTCGAAGCGCGTGGAGGCGCTGTCGGACAAGCAGGTCCAAGCCGAGTCGATGGCTGTCCTGCGCACGATGTTCCCCAACATCACCATCCCCGACCCGATCGCTTTCATGTTCCCGCGGTGGAATGCCGATCCGCTGTATCGCGGCAGCTACTCGAACTGGCCCTCCAGCTTCGTCAGCAGACACCACACGAACCTCAGGGCGACCGTCAGCGACCGCCTCTGGTTTGCGGGAGAGGCGATGAGTCAGAAGTACTTTGGTTTCCTGCACGGAGCCTATTTCGAGGGACTGGATGCCGGCCAGGCCGTTGCTAGTTGTCTGCTCAGTGCCAAAAACTGCAAGCCCCGGACTCATTTCGAGTCGGTGCCCAACGCAAATCCGTATGTGATCTAGTTCCATATGTGATCTAGTTACACGCGATTTACAACATACATACATACAACAGAGAGACTATACAACAAATCATGCTGCGTCCGATCCCAAGATCCGTCTCACAGCATCGGTCTCCTTCTCCTTAGCTTTGGCCCTACCCTCTTTGATCCGCTCCAGTCCACTCTGGATGCTCTTGATGTGCACTTCGACAGGGATTCGCGACCCCGTCAGCTCCGGGGCGGCTAGTCTCTCGCGCAAGTTCTCGATGTCCTCGCTCATCTGGGTCAAAGCCTGCAAGGCAGAGACCACGTGCATCAGCGCCTGCTTGCGATACTGGCCCAGACCTTTCAGCAAACCCAGATGATTCTCGTAGCCCCGCAGCTTCCGACGGTTCCCGCCTAGAATAGTCCATAGCTCGCTGAGCAGCTCGGATTTCGCGCTCGACAGAGACACGTCCTCTCGCGTGACCATCTCGTGCAGCACAGACAGCTTCTCCTCTAGATTGTCCAGATTGCGCATGCTCAATTCAAACTCGACGACTAGCCGCTGCAAGGTAAACGAGAGGTAGTTCATCGAATCTTCGAATGCATCCAAGATGATGGCTGTCTTGGATGTCGAAGACTTCCAAGGAATGAGTGATCCCCAGATTGGGGGAGCCGGTTTCTGATGTGCTCCTTCAATAGTTAGAAGCGCGTAGTCATTGACCGCCATGATGCTGCAGACGCCGTGAGGTTGGAAACCAAAGTTCACATCTGAGATTGGCCCACTGACCCGTCGACTGCTCCAGATACCTTGGAGCTAAGTTTATTCAAGGACCTTCCGGTCGTTCGCGCATCGTCGACGAAGGTTCGCAGGGCATCACTCAGTATATCGCGACTCCGGAGCTCGCTGACGCCCACAAGGGTGACGAGATCCGTCGTCGCCATCTCCGCCTTCTTGATTTGCAGGGCCAGTGCCGACCCCGAGCTGGTTTCGTCAAGTAGCTGGTCAACCGTGGCACTTTGCATGTCGACCAGCGACGGAAAGTCGGCCCATCTAGGTGCGCTCTGAGTCGGTGCAGCTCCGTGGGGCCTACACAGGGAGGAGCTACCAAGCCCTGGGATGAAGCACAAAGGACGAAACGCAGCTCGTATGCTATGCGACATGAGCCCGATCAGGAATGCCAGCATCCATAGGAAAAGCAGTGCAGACAAAGGGATCCGGAGAAGCATAATCGCCCGCCTGAACACATCGAGGAAGTACCAGCCTACAAACGCCCCTCCGTCGAGTACATCTTTCTTGGTAACGAGGGGGGTCAAGCTGGGGGTCGGAGTCAGGGATGGACTCTGTACTGGAGGCGTGCATGTTTTCCTCGGGGGGCCTGGGGAAGCGACGAATTCTTTCTTATGCCGGCGCTTGCGTGGTGTGGGAGTTCGGGAATAGTTAATGGGTATCCCCTGCGTCTGCGATGTAAGAAAGATATCGTCCTCATCGAAAAGCTCCATCTCCTGCCTCGCGTCGAGCGATTGCATCTCCTGTTCCTCATCGACGTCCTCCCAAGCGTCGTCCTCCACGTTGGAGGACGTGTCTTTCTTGATACGCTTAGTCTTGCGCTTCCGTAAATATTCTGCGGTCTAATGCAGATAAATCGCGTACATGTCGGGAAACGGGCATTGGAGTCGTGTTCAGGTGGGGGCAGCAATCAATACATCATAGATGATGGCCGAGCATAGCCACACGCTTTGTCATGGTCCATGGCATCTTATCAGATTGGTTCACTCCTTCCCTCTCCCCGTCCGTCCGCAGTCCCCGTTGTGGTTTTCAACTCATCGATTGCCAGTATGCCGATAGACACAGTCAATTTGGAGGCTGCGATCCGCAGACACTTGAACTGCACGCACATCGAGATCGAGGACCAATCGAGCGGATGCGGGGAAAACTACGCCATCCTACTCGTCAGTGAAGACTTTGAGGGGAAGTCTACGCTCGTCAGGCACCGTTGGAGTGCGTGTGGCGCGTGCTCAATACCGAGTCCACTAAAATGAGATCTAGTCAACCAGCTGTTGAAGGAGGAGATAGCCCAGATGCACGCGTTTTCCCAGGTCTGGTTCTTTGCCGATGATGACGCGCTCATCCTAATCCTTTCGTTGGAAGAAAACATTCACGCCAAAGCAGTACGAGTTGTATCTGCTCAAAAATCCATGAAGATTGCAGGGTCAGGGTATACTAACTTGTTGGGACTCGGAACCACATCATGTAATACGTCGCTGTTACTAGTGCTGCATATTCTCGCATCGCTTTCTACATTCCTGATTCTTTGCGCAACAGAGGTACGAGGAGAGACTTGGATTTCAAGAGGCTCGTCAGCCAGGAACCGATCGTGATTCCCCACAGCACATCGAAGTAGCTGACGCCTCCGAACTAGACCATGACGCGTGAGTGATATCGATCTATATGCCAGGTACCGGACGGAGAGACGCACCTTGCCATTGGTCAGCACGACACCTTCGAACGAGGTCGAATAGGTTTTCTTGAGGGGCATTCCTTGCAGGTAGCTCAGGACATTGTTGGCGACGACCGGAGCCTGGGCCATGCATTTGACCGCTTGTTTCTCTTCTTTCCATTCGATGATGTCGCCCGCCGCGAATATGTTGGGGAAATCGACAGTTTGCAGTGTCGGTCGAACTTTGACAAATCCGCGTGAAGTGAGAACATCACCGCCCAGACTGTTGATGAAGCCGGTGTTTGGGTGCGCGGCCCCAGCTGTTCTGATCTTGGAGGATTTGAGTTTGAGAATACGACAGCCATTCCGGGACTCACGACCATGTCAACTTGGAAGGTTTGGCTGTTGTCTGACACAACCTTATCAGATTCTGAGTTGGCAGTCACTGGGACGACGTCGCCGAGATGGATCTTGACTGCTCGCGCTTCCAGCTCGCGAGCCACCCGCTCGCGATATTTGTCCGGGTACGTGTCGTTGAGAAGCAATCGCTGACTGTGAACAAGAGCCACATCTTTGGTCTGCACTAGCTTGAGGACATGCCAACAGCTCGCGAGAGGGTCGCTTACCGGCCATGCGTCCTTCAATTCACCAGCAAGCTCTGTTGCACATCATCGGCAGTTGCAACGGACGAGGAGAAGAGATAACAAACCGCATCCGACGGCACCACCCCCAACGATAAGATAGCTGTTCGCCGTCGAGAATTTGGCGCGGGCTGCGTCGATGTACGCTCTGACATCAGCAGCAGTATCCGGGAAGGCGATCGGATCAGTCCAGTTCATCCCGGTGGCAAGTACGAGGACGTCGTACGGAACTCTGTTCCCGCTTTTGCAGACCAGCATGCCCCCAGACCCAGCACGCTCCTGTTGAATGAGCTCCACTTCATCCTGCAGAAATGTGCCGTTGTTCTTGAGAAACAGTTTGTCGTACGGGACGAGGGCAGTGGTGTCCAGATTGTCAACGTCGGAGACCACCATGCGCAAGGCCGCGGGGAGTATGATGCGGTACGGCCGGGGGTTGATAAGAACAAGTTCAAACTTGCTGCTGTCTAGCTTGGCCGAGAGCGCGCGAGCGATGTTAACGCCGGCTGAGCCACCCCCGACCACGACCACTGCAAAGTCCAATGTCATGAGTGCGAGCAGTGTGAGCCGCTGTCGTCAATAGGCTGACCGCTCTGCTTGTCGTCGTTTTTCTTCTGGGAGGTCGCCATCTCTGTTTGAAGGAGGAGGAGGTAAGGGCAGGAGGGTGCGCGTTTGGACGGCTGATCATGAAGGCTCGATAGTCGCCGTGTTTGATGAGAGACTCAAGCCTGAGAACATACTTCCTTCCTCCACTAGTGCTTCTCTCCTACCGGCACACAGGCGGCGCTGAGTCGACCCCGCAGCCAGCATATCCGCGGTCATGTCTTCAAGGCTATGCGCCTGATTCGGACACTGGTTTCATCAATCACAACGCGAAGTCCTGGTGAGGACAAAAAGACAGAAATGGGGACCTTGGAAACGGTAGAGCAGGGTAGAGCCCGGGAGTACATCTTCCATCAGTCACATTCACGGTCTTCGCACAGTCTAGTTCCTGTGCTTACAGTCTCCGTCCCGTTTCTCCTTCCACGTTTCTGGCAGATGTGTTACCACTGTCTGAGTCTCCATTCTCTTCTCCCGCTGCATGTGAATCAGCCCCCGGTCACCGCAACGGTATCGGCGCCCTTGTCGAAATGCATCATGCGCTGACATGACGGAGCATCGAGAGGCACGTACGTACTCGTTATAAGATGTGTCAGGCGGCAAGATGGCCTCATCGTCATCATGTGCGGACCTGCATTACATACATAGTGTCATTCAGAAATATGTACGCAGCGAACTTCAAACAACTGGTTTCACACGGATGGGCAGCTCTGCACCCGGTTCTCCCGCCACCTTTGGATGCGGCCCAAGATAGAAAGCGCGTTCGAACTTGGTCTGCGGACCGTGCTTGGGAGAAAAGCTGTATCGGCTGACGAGCAACGACAGCAGCATCTGGTGGGATCAGTGAAAGTCAGCGTTTGCGAGGAGACGTCACATACCCTCAGCTCAAGCAGCGCAAGGCCCTTTCCGAGACACGTCTGCAAAGCTTATGAGAGCCTCGCTAGTGAACATGGACGGGCAAATTTTACCCGGGGCCCGTCGAGAAAAGCCATTGTGTGAGAGTAACCGGGAAATTCTTTGGCTGAAGCGGGAATCGAATCATCGAGCCATCTCTCAGGCTTGAACTCAGATGCATCGGCGCCCCACACGGATTTGGAGAGGCTCGTGAAGAAAAACGAGGTCGTGATATGGGTTCCCTTGGCGATGGGCAGTTTATCGACGTAGGCGCCCGACGCTGTCTGAACAGGCCGAGAGAGCGGAATCACGTCGTCCTCGAGAGCCACACGAGTCGAGTCACTCAAGACCGGGTGAAGTCGTAATGTTTCGCGTAGAACAGCATCCAGGTAAGCAAATCCAGTGGCGAGCGCATCATAGGAGGGGTCTTGGTCCCTGAAGACAGAAAGCTCGGTGCGAAGGCGGTCTTGCTTCTCCGGATGCATGGAAAGTTCGACGAGGGCCCACTGGTGTTTTCCGACGTTAGTCACTGAATTTCGTCACGAAAATCTCACCTTTATTGAACCTAGGGGATGTTAGATAATGCTGCAGCTGCCGGCTGTCAGAGAGATACTCACTCGAAGTTGTTGCAAATCCAGCCAGGAGGAAGGATTTGGCCTATATAGAATGCAAGTTTATCAGCATCTGGTGGTGCACAGAAAACTGCAGTTCGCACGTGAACTTGAATCTGAGCAGGAGAAAACTGTCCGCTTGTTACTGGATACATTGAGAAAAAGATCTAGACGATAACTGGCGGCGCGGGACTCACATAGCACACCCAGAACAGACTTGTTTGGTCCATCAGTGCCGGATTTTTGCACCATTCCTTCGACAACGGCATCCATAGCGTCAGAAAGATTGTTAACCAGAATGCTCCGAGGGAGAGGCAACTTCAGCAGTGATGGAAAGGCTTGGGCGGCAAGGAGGATCTTCATTGCTGCAGGAGACGGTTTGGCGTGACCCAAGGCACTCAGTGCCGACGAGACCGGGGAGGGCTCTCCATCTAGTGATTTGAATTCATGTGCGAAAGCAATCAAGCCTATCAAATCGAATCTGGGAGTGGACTTGTTAGACATAAAAAACGGCCAGTCGAGAAACTAGCGCACGTAAAGTTGTTGATGCTGTCGAGAGAACGTCAGCTGGCAGCCTCGACTGGAATTGGTCGGCCTACCAAGTAGAAAGGTCGACCATTATTTCTTGCTCGGAACTGCTCTGGAGCTCGGATTGCCAGGCGGAACTGATCTGTGAGATGCACGTCAGCTACATGCATGAGCGGTGAGCAATGTCACGGACTTTATGCCCGCAGTCGTTAATCCATCCCGTGTAGCTTTGGAGAGCCGCCGGCCCAAAGAGGGGACTAAAAATCTTTCTCTGTCTGAGAGACGCATCTGTCAACAAACGTGACTCCTGCCCATCCAGATAGCACTTACAGATTATGTTCCGCTCCCAATGTCTCAATCAAGCTCATAGGGCCAGTCTAAGGGCAGCGACATCAAACGGAGGGTGGTCCAGGTCAGGTCTCGGAAACGCACCAGACTGGTCAGTTGTTTGAGCGCGAGAGGTGAGTGACAGTACTTCCAGGAGTCCAACGCGTAGATATGCGCGATGGCTCGAGGGTCACAAGCTATCAGTCGACACGATCCAAAAGGGCCACGAATCTGGAAAATGGATCCGTATTCTTGAGACCATTTGCTATACAACTCGGCAGGACTTTGAGCAGCGGCGACCAGTTGGGTGTGACCAAAGACAAAGCTGGGAGACGGCGGCCCCCGCAGTTTTACTCGTCTGCTGTGCACGACGATCTTGTATACAGCGAAACAGAAAAACGCCCCGGCGGTGACGATGAATGTGTAGTCGGACATGGTTGGGGTTGAGACGGAAAGCAGGCTGTTGTTGCTCCGTGTAGGCAGTGCGTGTTAACATCAGGTAGTCTGCCGTACGTGACAGGATGCTTCGCATGGGAAGAAAGTAGATTATCTTGGGTGACAGATTCGCGCCTTCATCTTTCTAAGGTTCATGCTAAAATAGGTCAGAGGATGAGCGGAGACCGTCGAGGGCGGAGTCTGAATCAAGAATCATTTGTGATCTGATGGCGATCCAACTAGATCTCGGTCCGGAATCAAAGTTCCATGCTTGAGATGCAGAACACAATTATATATGTCCATGCGGGATTGTTTCCCAGCTGCACCTCTTTTCCATGGCTCAGAGGATTCTCAATTCTGCCTTGGCTGTTATCGGCGTCTTTGCTGTGCGACAACTGTACTGTTTGTATGCATCTGCCAAACGACAACCCGGGCTGCCTCCTGGCCCTCCTACCTTACCATTTATCGGAAATCTACATATCTTTCCTCGGGAACAACTCCAATACAAGTTTACGGAATGGGGTACGTCCTGATTTCCAACCGGCCACTTGGGGACTGCGCTGAGGGTGCTTGCTAGCCAAAGTCTACGGGGACATCTTCAGTCTGAAGGCTATGCACCTAACAGTCATCGTTCTCAACTCGCCCACGGCAGTGAAGGAGGTCATCGACAAGCGCGGCGCAACATCGTGTGACCGGCCGGCCAGCGCCATCTCGGATCTAATCACACCCGACAATCTCAATCTAGCTAGCGGCAGACACGGTGAGTGATTTTCCACTCATTCTGCTGGGAAATATTCATCTCTGGTCAGCCAATGACATCTGGAGAGCCCTGCGCAGGGCGGCCATGCACATGTTGCGCCCCGAGAATATGGACACATTCAAGCCGTTGCAGCGCGCAGAAGCTGCTCAGCTGATGTGGGAAATGAGTGTACGACCCGAGGTAAGCCACCAGTCAATCACTGCGATCACTTGTAACATGTAGTGGCCAGAATTTTTGGGAAGATATCGCTCGATTCACCACGTCATTTTTCATGGTGAGTGCGACATTTACCAACGATGAATTCGTCCACAATACACTACAGGGTGTTATTTACGGAGTGCGAGCGCCGAGAGCGTCTAGTTATGCTGCCAAAGCTTTCACTGAAACACAGACCGAGTTCATGTTGTGCATGGAAGTCGGCAAGGCACCCCCGGTTGATGTGTTTCCCATCCTCAAGGCTGTCCCAAAGCCATTTGCAAGGTGGAAACAACGTGCTCTCGATCTTCGAAAACGGCAGGAAGCGCTCTTCCAGTACCTGCTGAACAAAGTCGAAACTCGGATTCTCCGCGGAGACAGCAATGGTGCTTTCATGGAGGAAGCGTGCACTCAGGCCAGCGAATGGGAGCTCACGCCGTCTTTGCTTCTGTTTGTGTATCTCCCAAGTTGTGCTACCTGAAGCCGTGCTGATTGTCGGCCAGGCATCTTGGCGGTGTTCTGCTCCAGGGCTCCGATACCTCATCAGCCATCATGCAGGATTTCATTCTCTTCCTCAGCTCGCATCTTCAAGTACAAAAGAAGGCCCAGGAAGAGATGGATGCTGTTGTCGGACTGGAGCAGCCACCGACATGGGATGATCTGGAGAAATTGCCCTATTTGCAAGCTTTCCTGGACGAATGCATGCGCTTCCGTCCAATTGGACCACTTGCACTGCCTCACGCCATGGCCGAAGATGACACGGTCAGTCATAATCTCGTCCTCCTTGGCGGCAAGTTGAATTCTTGGCAGTTCAATGGCATGCTCTTCCCAAAAGACGCTATTGTCTTCATCAATTTATGTATCAACGTTTTGTTGTCTAGGGTGCTTGAACACTCATTTTTCGATAGGGGCAATCTTCCACGATGAGCGCTTTTATGAGGAGCCCTCCGCGTTCAGGCCCGAACGATTCCTCAATAATCGGCTCGGGACAAAACCGGGGATCGTCGATGATCCTGCTCGCCGCGACACGTTAGTTTTTGGGGGCGGTCGACGCATTTGCCCTGGCTCTTACACTGGGAGAGCCGGTCTGGTATGTCTGCTCTTTGCATTGGATTTCACAGACTGACGAGTTCCAGGAAATCAAGTCAGTCGGGTCACGTACATACATTGGTCAACTAATCGGAGTTTTAGTCTGGCCAACTTTATCTGGGCGTTCGACTTCAGTCCTGGCCTCTCTCCGTCAGGCACGCCTATCGAACACGATCTCTGGGCGTATACCAACGGTGTCAATCTGGCCCCTTTGCCCTTCAAAGCCACCATCCGAGTGCGCTCTCCCGAGAAAATGGCGATCATCCGCCGTCACTTCGTCGAACAACGGTCTCTGTTGGTACCTTTTGAGCGCGACCTGGATGCCGAAGACCAGGAGTACATTAGAAATTTTCTACCTCAGTCTTGATTGTATTTTCACCTCAGTTACCACCGCCATCACGCGGTTCTCCCCCCGCGGGGTACCTACTGGGTACCCTCAGACGTCTTGCTGAGGGTACCCAGTAGGTACCCCCTGGCGGGGGGTGGGGGGGCCATTTAGTCGATTTTGTAGCGGGGGCATATGCGGGGGTCAGGAGGAGGGGGGGTGTATGTAGCATGTGACTTGTCGATAAGAGCGGGTAGCTGGGCGGGAAAAAAAAATCCAATCACATGACGCGCTGCATGGGCGGGATGGCGGGATAAAAAAAGCACGTGACAGCTGAAGTGATAATTTTTAAAATGTTGGCGGGGGCTGGCAGGGTGCTGGCGGGGTCATTACCGACCCCCCCGCATGCCACGGCGGGCGGTAGGCGCACATTCACGTGACCTCCTCCCATCTTTTTTGCCGCCATTCGGTGCGATTTTCAGGGCTCTCCACGGTGCACAATGCGCGGGGGCGGCGGGCAGTTTGGTCACGTGACCGAGCGCAAAAAAAAAAACAAAAATAGCTGCCGGAAAAACCGGGATGCTATTCCAGTCTGTCCTGTGCCTCAAATATCGAAAAAGCGAAGCACTGAATGCAAAACCTGGACCGCTGCGCCCCCCGCGCTGCAGCAGTGATGGGCATGATCCCATCATCTGGCGGGGTCATCTGCGGGGTTGATCTGTTCCATATTTGTACGCTCACGCCGTAGTGCCGCTGGGTTCCCTGATATATGATTACTTTGTTTCCCATGACGATCTCCTTCTGCCTCTTCCTCCCAGGATGCCCCCCAAAAAGCCACCACCAAGAAAGCAGCCAGGAAAACCTTCAGGGCAAAGCATTCGACCCACCAGTCCAGTGAAGGGACGGCACAAGCTCCGAAACGTCTTGACAATACCCATGGGCCGCAACGCTCGCGCAAATCTTCTGGCTCAGAAGATGAATTCTTTGCTTGACCCAAAATCAGCAGATTTGAAAACCGAACCGTCTGGACAACGGATGGAGGAGCATATAATCCTTGAGGATCGAATGGAAGTGGATGAAACAAGCGCAATGAGCGAGGATCTATGGGAAGATATTGCACATGACGCGGGCCCTACCGCGGGGCCCGCCGCGGGGGGTGCCGCGGGGGGTGCCGCGGGGGGTGCCGCGGGGGGTGCTGCGGGGCCCGCCGCGGGGCCCGCCGCATGGCTGGGTGTTGGGGCTGGAATGCCGCCATTTATCCCTGAAATTCTTGCGCGACCACATGCTTTGCAGAGGAAGCCACGTGCTATGCAGGCCTCTTCTGTGTGGATCAATCTCATCCCTGATCTTGCCATCTCTCTGCTGGCATTTCGGAAATCATCCTTTGCATGTCCACCCGCATCACTCGCTGAAACCATTCATCAAAATTGTGAAAATCCTGCCTGTACCCCAACTAAAATTCGTGTCCTATGTCTCCACATCTCATGTGTGTTTCAATTTTGCCTGAACAGATTTGGCCTGACATTTGACCAGATTTTCAACATATCAATGTCCGAACATGTTCTTGTGTTCCCCCTGCAACTGTTCTACTGGAGCATGGTGCTCTGGCCACCTCACCTAGCAAGCCACAAATTGCTGTTACAGTCAATACATTGGAGATATACCAGGCATTGTTTCAACGCTCCTGCATCGCCATTCAAGCATTCACAAACGCTCTAACAACCCTCTATAATACCAGAGGATTTGAGCTGATGTCCAAAACCGTGAGTTGCTTCTTTCATTCCGCTTTTTTTGCACTTTATTTCTGATACATATTCCAGTTTGATGGTGAACATGCTGCTGATCCTCTTCGACAAGCCTTATCCCAGGCAGTGCATGTGTACAGCAGCATTCAACAGCATATCCGAAAAATGGTCAATGATGCCTTGGCCAAAGAGTATTGCCGTAGCAGCACCGGATCATCTCCAAGAGACTCCATAGCTTCCACCTGTGAAATTTCCCCTGCACATGCTGAGCCACATCCATCAGTCTCAATCACAGGACCTTGCGAGGTGTCCATGCTCGGTGCACCCCCCGCCGCACCCCCCGCCGCACCCCCCTTCGCACCCCCCGCTGCGTCCCCCCCTGCACCCCCCGCCGCACCCCCCGCCGCACCCCCCGTTGCACCCCCCGCTGGGTCCCCCCCTGTACCCCCCGCCGCGTCCCCCGCCGCACCCCCCGCGTCATTTACCCCTGCCAACCACACCGTCAAATCTGATGATCAACTCTTGCTGGTCCCTGGATCTGCAAATCGGGTTCTACAGAGCCGGTGTCCCTTGTGTTTTTCCCTGAAGGAATGGGGCCGTCCGCTTGCTATGTTCGATTTTCCTCTGACTCTGATCACCAGTGACTGACTTATATTCTCAGCGGTGGGGATGTCCAATTTGGTGCTGATGGTTGCTTCAACTATCGTCATCTCCGAGCTGCTGGCAACGGACCATCCTTGTTCAGTCAGGAGTACTTCCTGACACCTGAAGAGGTTCACAAGGTCAAAGAGACTGTGCTTTTGGCGAGGAAATCTCCGAAGCCTCTCAAAGAGTCTCTAATTTCAGCTGATATTGTGGATGCCTGTGGAGAGTCATGGACTGCCGCAAATGAGCACAAACAAAAGGGGGATCCAAAGCGCTATGACTCCACTGGCATCTTTGCACTGACATGTCGTCACTCACAAGTCCTGTTCATGTGTGATATAGACACTCCAGGAGAGCAGCAGCACTACATAATTGCGCTCTTGGAGAAGGTGGCCTCACTCCTGCCATCCAATGCAACCATTACGCAATGTTATGATATCGGTTGTGTTCTTGACCGGAGTAACAATTTGGTACGTGCATTCCCATTCACAGTCTGTCACTTCTATCCCCGCCGCACCCCCCGCCGCACCCCTTGATAGAGTCCATATCAATGCTGACTATACTCCGAAGTTCCCCATCCTTTCTGCCCATTTGCGATCTCGCGTATCATTCTCTCTGAACGCGATGCATGCATTTGGACATCAATGGGCCTGCCAATTGGTCTACAACCCACGCATGAAGTTGGGTATGGGTCTCACTGATTCAGAAGGTGTAGAAAGACTTTGGTCAAGGATAAGAAGATTGATTCCTCTGACTCGTAATCAATGGGTATCCCTACATATTTCTGTTGCTGTTTATCATTCTGACACATCCACAGACCTCACGGCGCATAGCCACCCTAGATGAATTTGTTTCCTTTGTCAATCATGAAGGAATCATCAGTCTAGGTAGTTGGATTGAACGGCAACTCAATAAGAACATTCCCCAAAAGATCAATCAGTCCATGAGACGGATCAATGCTGCAGGCGTGGCCATTCATGACTTGCGATCACACTGGCAGGCTCAACTGAGTGCCCAGGTATCACTTCATTCAAGTATATCATCTTCCCTTGAGAAGGATCTTCACTCAAAACACTCTCCCAGGCCCCCCTGTTCGAGTCCAACGTGAGCTCGGCAAGATAGTCAGCCTTCAAAATCAAATTGAAGATATTGATGACACTCTGGAGCAACTCCAAAAGACTGTCGAAGATAGACAGAGCTCGGAGTCAGCACATATTGCGATCCAGGATCTGCAATCCACTCATGTCAAGCTCAGTCAACAAGCTGAGCATCTGTTCACTTCACTCAACCTGGAGACTCATTATCCAGAGCTGGCTGGACTTCCCTTTGAATTTGTGCAGATCCTGCTGCTGATGAGGGACCTCAAGATTCAGATTCGCAAACAAGCAATTGGGACATTTTTGGAATGGGAGAATTTAGACCGTGCTGTCCAAGGACGACGGGAGCCACTGGGTAAGTCCCTCCCCCATGCGCCCCCAAATTCACCCCCGCCCCGCGCGCACACCCGCGCGCACCCCCGCGCGCACCCCCGCGTACACTACGCCACCGCACTGACATGTTTCCATCTGCAATCTAGGTACGAAGCTTCATCAAGCAGCGCGTAAAGCTCTTTCGAAACGTCAGCCAACGCTGCATCGTCTTATCGACAAATTCAATTCCTTTTGCTCTCGACTGGAAGAGATTCAGCCTCCACACTGCTCTGTTCCCATCCCTCTCCCACTTCCTACCAAGCTAAACGAGCTCAAGTCTCATACCAACCTCTTCGAAGATGTATGGATCACTCCCTCGGAAGGGGATGTCCCATTGTGGCTCTGCGATGAAAATGTCCGTCAGGGAATTTCAAGTCTCCATGTACTGGACCGCTGTCATGAGGAAGGGCTTTGCCTGTCCCGAGAGAGCGAAAACATGCTGCGTTGGATTGATCAAGAGTCTTTGCTGCTTCTTTCAGCAAAGGATTGCATTTCAAGTGCGTTGTTCATTACTCTCTGTCAAGTGACTGGACACTTCTTATGCTAGATCACATTCTGCAACATGAGCTGGAGCAAGAAATCAACTTTCTTCGACGTGTTGCATCAAGATGGCGCCGTCAATTGCAAATTCCTCAACCTCGGCTGCTGGCTATGGACCCGACACTCTCTGTCAGCTCCCACAATTTCACCCCCGCTGCGACCCCCGCCGCAGCCCCCGCCGCAGCCCCCGCCGCAGCCCCCGCCGCGACCCCCGCCGCGACCCCCGCTGCGCCTCTGAACCCAGAACCCACGATTGAGGAACACACAAACCAGGTGGAAGCTGATCCTCTTGAAGATGACATGAATCAGTCTCTATGGGTTGATTCTGAGGACATTTCCGTCGATGAGGTTGCAGCCTGTCCCTCAGACTCAGAAGAGGCTCTTGCCGTATCAGATATGATGGAAACAGATGATGACGAAGACACAGCAACACTTGAACGTGACAATTGCCATGTCAGAATATCCTGGGCTTCATTCACAAAGGTATGTGTAACGCTTCCACGAAAGCAAATAATGCTGATCTAGAACAGTCTCGATCCACTTGTGACAACAATCTCCTGAGAGATCTCACAGCACATGTTGCCAAATTTTCCGTGATACGTGATCTCCAAACTCGTGTGGTTGTCCTCCCTGGAAACCTGCCCGCTGTTGCAGTCTATCAAAGTGATTTAGCACTACTCACAGGATCAACAGCCCGATTAAATGGACACATCCTCAACAGTGTGTCAGCAGCCATTCTCTCATGGTGCATGCAACCCTTCTCGCTGCATGCCCTGTCTGCACAGAGATGCGCCCTTCTTTCCACGTATGATCTACATCGAGTCCGTTTCAATGCTCCTGATAAGGTTATCTGGAAAAATCTGGCCCCTACGGAGTATTGGAATAAGTCAATCTGGATTATTCCAGTCCACCGGCAAGCCCAGGAACACTGGGCTCTTGTCATTGTCCTGGTACATGAGCAAAAGCTCCTCCTCTTCGACAGCTTGGCTCAGAAGCGTCCGTGGTATACTGATACAAAGGTGTGTTTCATTTTTTTTCTCAACATAGGAGCTGAAAAAGACCAGAATGTCATGTTACTGGTGACCCGCATGACACTCCTGGCACATCGAAACGGATATGCGCTCCCTTTGAGTTTGGATGGGGAGGCCTGGACTGCAGAGCCCATGATTTCCACTGCAGTTCAGTGCAACAGTTACGATTGCGGTGTTTGGGTCCTTGTCATTATTGCAGCTGTTCTGCGCGGAATGCTGGGATCTAACATCGCTGAACCACAAATTCCGTTTCTACGGCACACTCTCACCAACTTCATGCTCACGCTTCCATGCGTGCCGGCCTGACTCTCTGCACGCAAGAGCCAGGGTGCTGCGGGGGTGCTGCGGGGGGTGCCGCGAGGGGGGGTGCCGCGGGGGGTGCTGCGGGGGGTGCCGCGGGGGGTGCCGCGGGGGGTGCCGCGGGGGCACAGTCTCGGTGGCTACATACAGTCCAAGATTCATTTGCCCAGGAAGGCCAGATTGTACAGTTTCATGTAGCGCTTTGCTTCCCACTGTAAAAATATCTCCAGCATCTCGCTCTCACGTGAGAACTCATCCTCCTGGTAACGTCCCTGCTCTCTCAGCTTGAAGGCCCTCTCCCAGCGTGCAAGAGTAGCACTCGCATCCCCTGCTAAATGAACTAGCTCCCCGCTCTCAAACATTTTCCTGTTCTCTGCATCAACGGACTGCTGGATGCCAGCATGAATTCCATGCATGACATTCTTGAGATTTGAAGTATAGGCCTGATAGCCTGGGGAGTTGACGGGAGTTGTGTCCTCCATAGAAACGAAAGGAGGTTCACAAAGCCATCGACCACAATCCGACAAATCCAGCGCTTCAGGATTGGATAGTGCACGTCTGAAGAAATCATTTTCGGTTGGCACTGCCAGTGTCCCGTAGTTGATCAACTGCTCAGGGGGTATAGCAGCGTCAGGTAGGGTCTTTATCGCCCCGCTTTTCTGACTCTTCTTGGCCACTCTTGTGGATCTACGTTGGGTTTGGCCGCTGTGGATATAATGTATCAGGGAAAGATCGACTTCACCGATAAGGCCTTACCGCATGCTGGAGACATATTTGACGTCTCTGGCAGCCTTTGCAACTTTCCGATCGGCAACCGTAAGGGAAATTGCACGGCGACCCATTTTCGAGATGACGGTGAGTGATAAGTTCCTGTGAGACTTGAGTGCCCTTGACTCACTTTCGAGAATCAACTTTTTTCTTACAAAACTGCATGAAACTTCTATTGGGAACAAAAGGAGTGATTCATTCGAGACCATTCCGTACATTTCCGAGGTCCAAGCACCCTCTACTGAGCTGAAATTCATTTGTAGATATGTGTACGACGTTTATTCTCAGTCCGATTGGCTGCCTGGTGACATGTTCCGGGACGTCGAGTGTGTGAAAATTACGTGTAAGACTCGGAAGGAACCGCCATCAAGTGCGCGGGGGGTGAAGCTGAGGTGCGGCCGGGGTCGCCAACAGGGCAGCAATATAGTGGGCTCATGGCGGCGGCCGCGGCGGGGGGTCTGCCTATGACTTCACCGTGACACATCGTGATTGATGTGACATGCATCGCAATTGAACGCGCTCTCTTCCTGTCCTCCCACTGCAGCAGTACCCTTCCTGTAGGTCCCCATCTGAAACCCAATTCGCGTCTGCTGACCATGTCTGATCTGCTTAGCGCGCGTTTCCAAAAAAACCGAATCTTTTCTTGCTTGCATTCTGGGCCAAACGGGCCCTCACATCTGAACCACACGATTCACATCCGACAACCTCTCCTCTCGCCCTCAACTTAGTGACGCGTGAAAAGACTCTAGAAATGAAGACCGGTGGTCGCGACGGAGCTGGTGACGCGTTGAAGGCCGGTGCCTCTGGTGAGCACAATACCGGCTCCGACATGTCGACCAACACGGTCGACCCCTTCCTGAACAACTTCTCCTTCCCGTTGCCGCCTCCTGTAAACGACTCTGCCGATGCTTCGGGTGGCCGACCCGCCGCAATGGGGCCATCGCAGCCTTCTCTCCCCTCATCCAGTCCTGTTTCATCCATGGACGCGCGGTCTCCGCAGGCCATCCCCTTTTCCATCCCCGCTTCGGCTCTGCAGCAGGTCTCGATCTCTCGTGGACTTCGCGTCGGGACGAGAACTCCGCGTGGGCAGCCCAAGACGCCTCCTCTTTCCGTTCCACCCATTGCCACTCTTTCCGTTCCGCCCATCGCCACTCTTTCTCCTGAGGCCCCCCCCTTGGAAGCTCTCCGCGGGCTCTTTGCACTTCCGGGCAACGACAACGACAGCGAGGAGGTCCCAACGCAGGAGGGGGGCGGGTACGAGCTCCGGCAGAAGATTACCGCGTCGCGCAGAGGCCACAGTCTGGCTCAATCAGCCAACGCGGCACGACAGGCTCGGGTCCTCGCAAGTGCCGGAGCTGAGGAAACCCCCAACAGCTCCATGCCATCCCCTCAGGATGAGCTCACGGCCCAAACTGCTGGCGAGCATGGAGCCGCCTCCGGGGACCTGGCGCGTCCGAACGAATGGAGCATCTCTGAAATCGACGCGGAGGGAGAGGAAGACATTTCGGCCGGCCCCTCACTTTCCTCACAGGTAGCACAACCCTCTTTCATTGTGCGGCCGGTGGTGGGCATCGACACAGAGCAGAGGATGGCCCAACATTCGGACGCTCACAGGTAAGTCTTCAAGCTTCTTGATCCTCCCTTACATGTTTCCTTACAATGCAATTGCAGCGAAAACGTGCTCCGTATGCCGAGCCCACACGTCCCTTCTCTTGAGGTAGGCCCGTCCGCTGGCGCCGCTCCCAACCCTGCTCCCGCCGTGGCACCCCCTGCCACAACCCCCGCCGCGTCCCCCGCCGCGTCCCCCGCCGCGTCCCCTGCCGCGTCCCCTGCCGTATCCCATGCCGCACTCCCTGCCTCTATCGCTACCCCCGAAAACGCCGCTGCGGAATACGAGGAAGACGTGGAATTTGGGCGGGTCCTGAAGGAGCGGTCGCAAGAACAACGCAATCTCTTACTGGCAACTGCCGAAGAGATTGGGATGCTCATCACAAAGACGGCGAAGCTGACCGGCTGGAACGAGAATAAGGTTGAGGCCAAGCTTCACGAGCAGTACCCGCGGCTTTTCCCTGCACGAAACTACTACTGGAACGTCTACCAGCGGTACGCAAATCATCCCCGCTTCCGTGGCCGCGAGTGGCAACGACGCACTGGCGGGGATCTCAGCCAGTTCCCTGATCAGCTCCCCCGGCCCAACGATCGAGCGAGCTCTCAAACTCGTGGTCGGAATTTGTCAAAGCGCACACTCCTGCTGCGCTGGTGGAAGTACTGGACACATTCGTTGAGTGGGAGCAGGTGACGGAGCTGCGTACCTTGGGAAATCGGCAGAAGCTGTTCGATGGATGGCTTGGTAAAATGAAGGCCTTGGTGAGTGCACAATCATCTTGTGATCTTCTCTAACTGGATTCAGATCAAGCGCGGAGAGGCCGGGGGCAACTTCAAGGTTCTGATGATTGCATTGGGAGGTTTCTCTTCGCACGAAGCTCGGCTTGCATCCATCGTCGCAAGCGGAGGACTGGACGATGTGAGCAAGCTATCTTTCTATTGGAACGATCTCACCAAAATTCCAGTTTCTGTCCACTCTGTATCACGGCGAGCTGAGTGACGAGGAGGTAATCAGCCGTGCTCAGCATCACGTTGCGTAAGTCCTTGTGGTTCTCATGTGGATGAAAGAGTCTGATCTGTTTCGATTACAGCAGCTGGATGATTCAGGACGCGGATGAGGCACGCGATGCGTTGCTTGCAGTCGACGACCATGCGACTGGCACGGGTGACCTCACCACACCAGCAATCACCCCCGTCCGCGCCTCCGCTGTCACCCCCGTCCGCGCCCCCGCCGCCACCCCCGCCCGCGCCCCCGCCATCGCACCGACGCGTTCTTCCACTCGGGCCGCTGCTCCCAGCTCATCTGCCAACCCCCTGGCTCAGCTGCGAGCACGGGTTCCCCCACGTTACAAACTCCAACCGCTGTACGAGGCTCCGCTGACGCAACGGGAGGTTGAGGAGAACATCCAGAACATCTGCGATGCGATGGAGGGGGACTCCAACCAGCGCTCCAAAAGGTCCATGAAGGTGAACCGTCTCTGGGACAATCTCCTCGATGACTTGAGTGCTCTGTCGATGGCCCAGATTGGCAGTGAACCCGTTGGGTCCATGACCAATATGAGCCAACGGACTTTCCAGTGGAAGAGCGCCGGTCCAGCCCTTTTCAAGGGGGGATACATGTTACTCGGATGGCCCCATCTGCTTCCCCTGCCGACCAAGCTCGGACAAACTGACAAGGGTATACGCTCGCTGGCGGCATCGCAGCAGAGCATACTTGCGACCGCCATCAAGTACTCGCTGAATGAGGTGTTCGAGGGGCGTGAGCCAGCGGGAATATCCTTCTTTGACAATGACTGCCGGGATCCCCGTGAGTGTATCTCATTCATGTGCCTTTTGCAAAATCTGACTTCTTTTCCAGGCATGCCCGTGCTTGCCGCGTTCCCCCAAGGCGTTGGATCTAACATCGCGTTCAGTGGCTCTGAATTCGTACTTGGGGTGACTGGCCAGGGAGACCCGTGCTACTTCAGGCTCAACCTCCTGGATCCAGACCCAACACGACGATATCTGGACTTTAGCATTGTGGTGAAGAACGAGTCCGGCGACTATGCTCTCCCTGCACCTCCCGCTGCCTCCCCCTCCGATCCTGCACCTGCTGCTCGTGTGTTGAGCACACCAACCCGAAAGCGCCGCCGTGGACACGCCGCCGCACCCCCCGCCGCACCCCCCGCCGCGGCCCCCGCCGCGGCCCCCGCCGCACCCCCCGCCGCATCCCCCGCGCCCAGCTCCCCAACTGACTTGGGGCTGTCTCCCACGCCAAAGCCTGCTTCACCGCCGCCTGCGACGAAGAAGGTCAGTGGCAAGAAGCGAAAGGCTGATACGGCAGTGGAGGCTCCTGCTCTCCGTCGCAATCCGAAGCGCACCAAGGCGAATACTGGCGCTCCATCCAAACCATCTCAACAAGTCGGTGGAGGCAAACAGCGTCAAGTTTCGACTCCTGGTTCGGAGTACGTGCCAACCCCGGCTGCTCCTTCGGACGCATCGGATGTTCAAAAGGACGCTGGTCAGTACCTTGCCACCCTTTATGGACATGATAATCGTCCTATGGGCTTTGTCCTCCCCCAGAAAAAGCGCCGATCTAAATTATTCCCAGTGGTTTTGACGCGCAAGGTGCCGCGACCAAACAAGCGCCGCTT